ACCTGCCAGAGGGCCTGGAAAACTCCCACCAAAAGCCGGGAGTTGGCCTCCCAAATGGAGGATTTCACCTCTACAATCCAGGCCACCCCCACAAAGAGGCTTTTCCTCCGGAAGATCCGTAAGGGGTTTGCCCTGAAAGACCTCGAGATAGCTGATTATCAGCGAAAAATCAGCTCTTTAGAGGCCCAGTTGGAGGCTGCCCGCCCCCGGAAGCGCAAGTCGTTACATCCGGACCCTAATGAGACCTTTCTTTCCGGGCGCCAGATTTATAGACAAAGGGAGGGGCTTGAGGAGGTTGAAAGTATATCATCAGAATCAGCAGAAGAATCTGATGAGGGGGAGGTACAGGACTGCATCGTTGTGGGCTGAAAATGCTGTAATTTTGGCGTCGAAAGGTGGTGTTATCATGTGCGTGCGCCTAAAATTGAGTGGTGCAGAACAGGGGTGGTGCGGAACAGGGGTCTCTGACTTACCCCGGGCGAGGCCCCACGAGCTTATTCTATATCCACAAACCGGTAGGGGTGCCAAAAAACTTGAAAACCGCTACCACCGAACAGGGCCTAAGGAATGGTCACTCCAAGATGCGGTCCTTAAATTTGCGACGGTTAACGGCGAAACGAAGTATCAGCTCGAGTTTAGCCAAGGCCGTTGCCCGGATCACGAATGCAAAAACGCTTCACCTCGCCACCAACAACGAAGGCCGCCGGCTAAAAGATACCACCTGGCAGGTCAAAGCCCCGCATCAAAAGCGAGTGTTCCCACGCCCGCAAATGAGAAGGAATGGGAGGTTGAGGAGATACTGGCTTCACGCACCAACTATAAGAAGCTTCAATATCGGGCCAAATGGGTCGGCTGGGAAACCGACGAAACGTGGTACCACGCCGAGGGATTTAAGGGAAGCCCTCACCTTAAACAGTACCACCAGAATTACCCGGAGATGCCAGGACCCCCTGTCCGGCTTGAGCAGTGGCTTAGGGCCCACGAAGACGGTGTAGACGTTGAGCATCATCCCGAAGACAACAAGCCGGTAGCCGGCGCCACCAGGGCAAAGGAGCCCTGAAAGCGAGGTTTGTTTTTCTTTTTTTTTGGAGAGGGAGGGGGAGTGATCTCGTTCGGTCCCCTCCAAGACCCGTCGGCGAAAGCTAGGAGACAAACCGAGCGGAGAGCGCGGGACGGAGACGGGAAGCCTGGGCTGTATTTTTTTAAAAAAAATTGTATGCAGTTATGCATGGGATCTTGGCCGTACGGAAGCGGTTTGTTAGAATGTGTAAGCAAGCCTTTCATAAAGGACTAGCGCTTTCAGCCGACGTCTCCGCTAAAGTGTCGAACGCAGGAACGACCTGCACATCCCCATAAAAACACCGAGGCCGATGCGCATTTTGCAGTTTAACTATGTCCGCAAAGAAGGAACCGTGGAGGTCCACGTTACAACGTTCAAAAAATGGCTACTTGAAAACGCGGTCCTCAAGTCCGTGACAGTCGAAGGCGTAGTAAAGTTCCAGCTAAAGTTTAGGGGCTGTTTGATACTAAAGGTTTTTGGTTTTTTTGACCCCCTAGTTGGTTTTTTAACCTTATTTAAGCTTAATTCTCGAGGTGGATACAACGCCGGGAGAGCCCTGTGGCCGTTTATGTATATTTTGGCCTGATTTTTGGTGGGTCCCCATATAGGGCAGATAGGAAAGGCCTATTTATAAAAAGCAATAGGCACAGGCCCTTAAAATAGAAGCTATTCCCAAAAATATAAACGACCCGTGCAACGGCGTGGTCCAGGGTTAAAGCAGGCCTGAATAGCCTTACTTTCCGGCGTATCCAGAGGGTCCTTAGGGCCGGCGGTAGGCTTGTTCGAAAACCCCGAAGCCAGAGATTCTCGTAGTATATAGGGAAGCCTTTGGCAGTTCGGATTCAAGTACAAAAACAGTATTACAGAAATTAACGCACCCTCTTTTTGACCTACCAACCCTACATTCGTTGCCATGTATTATCGTTAACCGCCCTCCGTATCAGGCGCTGGCGTTAGGAACGCGAGAATCGCGCCCTATTTTTGCCCCCTCGTTTCCCGTAGCCTTTGCCGGGGAAGAGGAGGATCCTCCAGCCACTCAGATCACCTTGGGAACCCAGGTAGCCGCGTTGGGGGGCCCGGAGGCCGACGATACCCCCGACTTTTACGATTCTTTTAACGCACCGCAGTCGCTCCCTCCGCCCTCCCTTGCACCTTCCGCGGCCCCTTCTTTATTGCAGCCTCGCAAACGACCTAGGACACCTCCGTAAGAGACTCCCAGGCCTTTCAAGAGGGCCTCAAACGATCCGATTGGACCGCCAACCAGTCTTGGCCTTCCTTGAAACCCTCGCGGAGGCTGGCCGGCAGGGGGAAATAAAACTGGCGATCTGTGGCTGGCTCAACAAATGCCTCAAAAATGCTGCAAAGGCTTTGGCGGATCAATGGCCCTATATCCGGTGGTCAAAAAAGGGCCAAATATAAGTACAACAGCCTCATAGCGTAGTATAAGGACCGGCTGGACTTTGGGAAACGGTCAGGGGTTCCCGTTAACCCGTTACGGGGCTATATCTCGCCAGCGATCAAGCCTGGAAGGCGTTCCTCTCGATCCGGCCTGCCGCCCGTTGGATGCGCAAAAGGCCTCTTTTCCGCCCGGATCTCCACGAGGCCGCCTTTGCCAGCAATTGGGCGATAGGGGAATAAAGTTCGCGGGCTGGCGCGACTGGCCGCACGCCTACGTCAGCCA